CCGATCAACTTCAGCCACCGGTTCAGCTAGGACAGCCCCCAAATCACTTGGTTGATATCAAAATGTGTTGGATCCCATAAATATTTGGTTCTGTTTAGCACATTTGGAATTCCTCAATGATTAGCTCAATTCGTGCCATGATATCCTTATGTCTTTGTTCCATATGTTAGTCAAGTTGAATTAAAGTATACATGCATTTCTGATTTCAACTATGAAACAAAACACACAATATTGATTTTTCAAATAAATTAGTTAACTATAGATTTTTCTGGTATCATTGTTCGAACATCCGTCCTATTGATCTATGTTTGATTCTTAACAAGCTTGTTGTAGACTATCATGATGCTTGGTTTTTGTCTATTGCTAAGGGCTTGTTTGGGGTCACTTTTATATTTTATTTTTGTATTAGCTTTTATATTAAAAACATGCTTATTTAGTGTTTTTTTTTACTTTTAAAAATAAATTTTTTTGTTTTTAAAAAATACTTGAAACATCTAGAAGTTGTTTTAATTGTTTTTAAAAACAACTAAACTTGCTATATTGTACCAAATTTGTTTTGTTTTAGATAACTATATGGGTGTGGGTGTGGGTGTGGGTGTGAGTGTGGGTGGCGTATTAGATAACTAGGAGGTGGAGAGACTCTCCCCATGAGCGGCAACCCTAACCCAAACACTTGGGCTGACCGGCCCTTGCATCCCTTGCTGAACCCGGCCACTTCCGCAACCGGGTCAGCTAGGGCCGCCCCCCCCAAATCACTTGGTTGATATCAAAATGTGTTGGATCCCATAAATATTTGGTTCTGTTTAGCACATTTGGAATTCCTCAATGATTAGCTCAATTCGTGCCATGATATCCTTATGTCTTTGTTCCATATGTTAGTCAAGTTGAATTAAATTATACATGCATTTCTGAATTCAACTGTGAAACAAAACACACAATTTTGGCTTTTCAAATAAATTAGTTAACTATAGATTTTTCTGGTATCATTGTTCGAACATCCGTCCTATTGATCTATGTTTGATTCTTAACAAGCTTGTTGTAGACTATCATGATGCTTGGTTTTTGTCTATTGCTAAGGGCTTGTTTGGGGTCACTTTTATATTTTATTTTTGTATTAGCTTTTATATTAAAAACATGCTTACTTTTTGTATTATCTTTTATATTAAAAACATGCTTATTTAGTGCATTTTTTTTTACTTTTAAAAATAAATTTGTTTGTTTTTAAAAATACTTGAAACATCTAGAAGTTGTTTTAATTGTTTTTAAAAACAACTAAACATGCTATATTGTACCAAACTTGTTTTGTTTTCAAACTTAAAAAACAAAAGAAAAATAAAAAATATAAAAAAAAATCAAAAGTGACCTCAAATGGCGCATAATAGTAGCACATGATCCACGACTACTATTCGATGATGAACGGAAAAAAAAAATGCTTCATTCGAGTGAATAGAGGTCCGCCCTTTTACTCTCTAGCAATCATATGAGTATGCATGTTTTTTTTTTCTGCTTTTAGTTTTTTAATAACATCATAATAGGCCTGATTATCCTCTTTGGGACTTCATTGCCACAATCATGATTGAAGTTTCACTGGTGCTTCTAGAATTTGGCTTCAGGTGATCTCAGAGGATTGGAACAGTCAAAATATTCCTCTGTGGAACGTTCTTCTTTTGGATCAAAATATTCCAGTTTTCATTCCTTGTCTAAGAATCAAGGAGCAGTCAACTCGGTTGAGTCATTAGATGGGTTAGGGAGATCTGAAGAGCTTAAAAATAATCTATATTCTTATCTTCCTAATTTGATGGGACATACTTCTATGGAAAAGCCAGTGCAAAATGATATGAATTATGAGCATGAAAAGAGAAACTTAGTGGTCAATGGTCTTCATAGAATTGGTATCGAAGGTTTAGCACCTGTTCCCATCCCAGTGATATCTGAGAACAATAGTTTACATGCCGTGAAGCGGACTTCTGAATTCATGAACATGAAGACACAACATTCAACTTCAAATGGCCAAGGGAAAAATGTTGTTACTCAACTATTTTCTAATGATATCATATTCCCAGGGAACTCTGGAAATGCATCTTTTTCAGACACGCCTTTAGGACCTAAGAACTTTTTTCGCCGTGGCAGCGATAGTACCCAATCTAACTCATCAAATGAAGCATTTGGTGTGGAAAGGAGTGGATGTGATCTGTGCCTCGGGCAACCATCTCAGCATAAGCATTCTTCTAAAAGTTTCTCTTCAACAGCTATGAATTTATTATTGCAGAACGCATGTGGGTCCCGAAAGCTCCAACAACAAAACCAATTGTCTGATAAAAGTAATTTTCTTTTTTTTACAATTTTTTTTATTCTCAAATATTAGCTCAAGTAATTTGCTCAGTTTTTTAACTTGGTAGATTCTTCTTTTATTATTTGTAAATGGTGATCTCCATCACCTTTGTGCAGATGATTGTGTCAGGGAAGTAAAGAGGGCAAGGCTGAATCAGTCATATCCTCTTATAGAAGCATCATCCACTGATAATAGAGGACCGGTACCTGCTGGATTTCGAACTACCACTCCTCTACACAACTCTGAGTCAGAAGATCTTCTGACCTATGCTAAGGACTCATCAATCTCGTTGTTTCTCTCACACCTTACTGGAGGAACGGGCTTATTAGACATATCTAACAAACTGCATGATGGAATAAGTAGTATGACAAGTTCTATTCATAATGATTTGCTATCTTCTAAAGAAAACAATTCTCTACATACTGGGAATGAAATTAGTGAAGCTGGGAAGGCACCCTCCTTTAGCGAGTTTGATTATTTTAATGTTAAAGGAAACCCCTCTGTTGTTATCACTGATAATGGTTGCAATATAGTGGGAAGTAAGATAAATAGTAAGCAGATTGATGATAGAGGAGTTGGTCCCCCTTTTATTAGTGGGCAGTGCTTTCACCATTGTCCTGTGGGCATGGGAAAGTCGTCTTTGTTTTCTAGTAAATCATTGAGAAGCTTTCACCAGGGAACTAATGCTAAGAACTCAAATAAACTGGGAAACCTGTTTACCATTGATGATGGGTGTCATCATAACCATGGTTCTGAGATTCAAGCCTCCCATCGGACAGGTTTATCTGATTGCCGACATTCAGAAGCCCCACAAACTTGTTCATCTATAAACTCCAATTATATTTCAGAAACAAGTTGTTCGTCATGTAAACGTGACATAAACTTTTCAAACCACTTGATGGATGGGAATTTAAGGGGGTCAGCTTCTGCAAGGCATGAAAGCTTGATGGCTAAATGTAAACAATTAAGTAGCTCATTTAAAATGAAACAGCATGAAAGACTTTGCTGTCATTCAGCAGTGGAACCACAATGGAATACATGCTCTGATTTCTTTGTGGACCACAAGGATGTAAATTATTGTGAGATTCATAAAAATGCATCAGACTTGTATTCATTGCCAAATTGTGACTGTAATAATCATTTTGGGGCTTCTCATTGCAAATGTGATTCAGCAGGTGTGACTTTTATTCACTTACAGACTTGTAACCCTTGATAAAATATATAAAATCTTTAATCATACCGACTGCCCTATTTGTGAATGCCATTATTCTCTTATCTTTCTTATTTATTTATCATTTTTATTTTTGTGCAGCTGCAAACAAATGCTGCACCCTTGCGGCTTCGATACAAAGCAAGACTCCAAGCTCAGCGTTTTCTTCTTATCATATTTGTTGTTCTGATCACCATATTTGCTTTAGGTGGATATACATGTCACTTTGCTATTTAAGTTATTTAAATTTTATCGAACTGTTTTAAGGAACTATTATTATTTTTTCATCTAAAGCATGAAGTATATGCATTTGTTTCTAAGCCTCTTGAATTTTTGAAAATTATTGCATGCTTTTCTTTAAGGCCAGACTGTAGCCACTCTGGGACTGTAGATGTACTCTTCTTATTCCTGTGCGCTCTATCATGTTCTTGGGTTAACTGTTAAGCCAATTTCCTTCTGGTTACAGCACTACTATGTACTATTTTTGTGGGTTATGTTACGCCAACTGTTGTATGTAAATGATTTTCCTATTCGCTTTCCTGTCTCTTTCAAGAAATTCAAATCCACCAGTTTATTTGTGGAGTTTGAATTCAAAATTTCATGCATTTATTGATAAGTTGATACTTAAACTTAAATTCAGCTGATTTTTTGCCAGCCTTTATCAATTAATTTCGCGATGAGGAACCTATAATTAGATGTTTTATGGCTTATGATTAATTCCTTTTGATTAATTGAATGATTGTTTTATTTTTCAATTTTGTGTGTGAATGTTTGATGCATGATTCCTTTGAACATGGTACTTGTATAACCTATTATCTTCTTTTACCATTGTAATGTCTTAGTTTCTTAATTTGATAAATACATTTTTATGCTAATTACTTACATATATAACTTGTTATTTGCTTGTTAGTGTTTTTGATTTTGTTCATATTTATAAAATTGGAATCCAATTGTCTATATTGCTATTTAAATGTGGAATTTTATTTTATCAATGTCCCCAACATCTCAATTAAAAGGAAAAAAAAACCCAACAACTCATTGGCCTTTACGAATATTAAAGTCTTATATTTTTGATTTCTATGGGTTGTTTAGAAATCCAAAAGTTAAAATTCCTAAAGCATAGAATTATTTATAGTTGTTATTGTACTCTGTTGCAGTCTTAATTTATTCGGTACTGATTAGGTTAATATCCAAACAATTTTTTAAATCGAATCAGTCTAGAATTTGCATATGGTTTTATTTAGATGGCCAGTCATCAGATCTGGCCATTTAGGACGATCTTAGCAGTGCTGGAACAGTAGTTGAATGGTGTGTGAGGGTGGGGGTGGGCTGGGTGCAAGCATGGCTTCAGATTCTCCAGTTTTAAGATTCATCTTTTCTTTTTTTAAATTTTTAAAGAATGCTTGAATTCTTAGTTATTGTCTCATTGTTTTTTCTCCCTTTTCCGAACAGATTTAAGCCTTCTTTTGTCTACCTTAAAATCTCCTCAGCTTTTTTAGATTCGTGTTATATTATAAGATTATTTTAGTTGAGTATGCATCTTACATGCTTACCTTTATTTGATAGACCAAGGGATATCTTGATTGATACATCTTTAGATAATGTTCAGCATGAAATGTGTATCCACAAGGCAGGAAATCATCCGGTCTCTGGAAATTGTTGCTGTGCTATCATATCCAAATGTCAGTCAGGTGGTTGTTCTAGTAGGGGGGCTGTAAGCGCTGCTGATACCATCAATGATCCAAGTGTTAATGGGAAATTAAAGCGCCTAAATCCAACCCTTGATGTGGATGAGTCATTTCAGAAAGAAAGAATGGTTGGACTAGATCAATGTTCATGCTTTAAGAAAATGGCTGTCATGCAAAACAATTGCCAGACTGGTTTCTGGAGGGATGTTTCAGGTAACATTATAGGATATTCTGCTGCTCCTCCTGACAATCTTGTAAAGGGCTCAGAGGTCCCTAGAGTTGACAGACTGACAGAGACTGCAACTAAAAAGTCATACACAACTTTTGAAGCATCCACATCCTTGGATGAAGGACAGATGTCCAACTTTTCAGGATCTTCTGCTCCTGTAATAACTGAAGTTTCAGTTGAAGTCAACAAGAAAGAAGCCCAGGTTTCAAATATTGACCCTATCATTATTTTAAATTATTCTGAGGTTGATGAAGGATCAGCAGTTGAGAAATGCAGTTCCTCTATTGAAATGCTTGACACTGGAAAATATAAAGAAGTCCCTGATACATTTTGCAGGGTCTTAGCTAGTAAATCTAGGCATGACCACATGCCAAGCCATTCATCCGCTAATATTATGAATGAGTTTAAAATTAAAGGCTCATCCAATCAAAAGAGTGCAGGAAATAGCATTGGTAGATTGACAGATCAAAAAAATAATTGTCGGAGAGCTCAGTTAACTAGTGATCGGGAATTGGGGAATAGAAAGGAATCTTCCAAACCTTTTATGTTGGACAAAACATTTTGTAGATCAGTTTTCCATTTTGCACCTTCCAGGCCTCTGGACTCCGTTGTTGAAGCAAAGTGTATACAATCATCAAAACGGGATGGAGTTTCTATGCATCCTGAAAATGTTGTTGAAAGCACTGACGTAGTTTCTAGCGGATCCTTCAACATGAAGCGAAAGATATCTGATTACGCCTCCCCCAAATTCATATCTTTAAAGAAGTTGGGGAACCAAAATTTGCAGTTGAAAAATATTAAACAACCTACTGATAAATCAAAATTTTCACTTGCAATGGCAGGGAAAATTAATTTTACTTTACATAAGAAGAGCCATTCATATCAGAGGTTGAATTATCTAAATGGTGAAAGACCACCAAAGTATGTGTCATTGAGTTCTATAGTGGACTCTAGGAACGATGAAACAGAAGCTTCAACCATAAGTAAAAGGCCAGTTGTTTGTGGAAATTCTGGTATCATTTCAAGTGGAGAAAGGAATGCTCTGCAAAAACCTGCTAAAATAGTTCCGCTTAACTTGGTTCTTAAAAAGGCTAGAAGATGCAAGAGCAATTGGGAAGTTAAGCATAAAATTTCTCTATTCTCAAAATTGGAATCTGCTGATGAAAAGGACCTGCGATGCAGTGAGTTGTCCTCTTTCAAATCATCGGATGACAGTGGGAATCCATATTTTGGTAAAAGTGGAGTAGCTTCAGGCAAACTTTCCATGTCAGGTAAATTAAGAAAATTGCTATAATTAATGAAATTTGTGTAACTTGCTACTAGTTATTTTTTTAAATTGCAGTTTGTGTTGAGTAATAGAAAAGTAAAATGCACACGAATGGTTGATCACACAACAAAGAATACTTGTATTCCTGTTGTTTCAAAATTTAGCTTTAAAAGGTAATAGGATTGATTTAGGTGTTACTTATTCTGTTATTAAACCATTCTTAAAGTGTAACGACTGGATGTTAAGATCGATGTGGTTAGCTGAGGTAAAAATGCTTCATTTTTGTTAGCTTAATCTGATTTCTGGCATCTTCAGTGCTTTTGAAATATGCTTCTCTAATGGTGTAATTTAATGCAATTTTGGTACAGAATCTCAATTATCAGATTTAGTTCTTGGGAAAGCTATAAAAGGTGCTTGGTATGCTAACATAAGATCTAGAAGCATTTCCGAGAATAAAGTCGGTATTAGCAAGCAGTGGCAAATGAACAGAAGAAGGTATGCGATATGCCCATAAGTTATGTGCTTAGGAAGGCCATTAGGGTTGTGGAGCTGCATTCTATTTAACGATTTTATTTTTTTAATTTGAGTATTTCCCTTGTCACTACAAGAGACACTGATATTTATTATTCATTATTTCAAGCCGTAGTGTGCTCTTTTCTGTTGACGGAGAAGCATTGTGTTGTGTTTGTGGAAGCTCAAACCAAGAAGAAATCAATTGTTTGTTAGAATGCAACCAGTGCATGATTAGAGTGCGTGGTTTGTGAAGTTTCCCTTTTTTGTTATCCCTGCAGCTGTTTTTAAGCATTAAGAAAATGTGAAAAAATGCTATGCAGGTGCACCAGGCCTGTTATGGTATTTCAAAATTTCCTCAGGTTCTTTGGTATTGCCGACCTTGCAAGACAAACTCTCAGAACATTGTGAGCAATAAATAGCCAATTTACATTTATGAAAATGTATAGATTATGATGCACCGTGATTATAACTAAGATGGCTTTTTGGTTTTATTCTTGAAGAATATTTATTAACGGTAGAAGTTAAAATGCACAAACATGAGCTAGTATGCAATCTATAATTTGAGTTTTCTTGAACATTTTGTCTGAATTATCATTAAACGCGTGATCTTGTGCTAGTGTGAGACTATATCCTCCAGAACAAAGTAAAATCTCATTCTGGGGAAGTATTTGGGATACACATTCTCTTTTGTCTTTGGGAATATACAATGATTGTCTCTTGCTCTATTTGGTAACCATTATTCTGTGCTTGCTTCCAGTCATGAGGCTTTTTCAAAGGCCACATTTCTGGCAACTTTATTGGAGATGATTTTGTCTTTATTTTTGGCTGTTCTTTTATATTCTTCTTCTGTTTTCTTCTTTTGGGTTAACACTTTCCTCAGCCTAGTAGTTTTTCTTCTTGTATGTTATTCCATATGATGTGTGATATATGATTTGATTTGACGTCTTAATATTCTTCAGTGCCATTTCATAATTTTAGATAATTTGTGAAAGGATTTTGAATCTGGATGTCATTCAACTAATAGATTACTTTTTAGTTTGGTCTTGGCTTGAGAATGACATCTTTACTTTTTGCTGATTGACTCATCCAGTGTTTTGATCCGCTTTGGTGACTTCTCTCCCAAGGCATTAATCACTCTGGGGATTCTAATCCAACAGAGGTCGTGACGCTGCATTCTCTCAGGAGCTGTGCTATAGTTGTACGGCACGTCTGCCAGTCAACAACAGTTCTGTTGATAACAGTAGCAGTAGCAGTTTTAGCCATTTCAGTAGTGCCAATAATATCAAACTAGATAATGACAACATTAACAGAGCAAGAAATAACATCTGGTTTTAACTTAGTTACTTTCACTTGCACTTGTTCACCCTGTCTTCATCTTTTGAGGAATAGTGGAGCACAGGCTGAGTTGGTTGATTTCTTTCATTTGTTTGTATTCTTACGATTCTGTTCTTGGGAGAACATTTGAGGTAGTTGCATGAGAAATTTTATTAGTTTTGCTTAGTGTTTTTTAAGGGCAGTTTAGTATGCTGCTCTTCATCCTTCACCTCATCAGGAGGACTAAGCAAAACAAGAATAGGAGGTGACACCTCTTAGCTTAGGAAACAACTCAATTTTTAGTAGCAATAAAGCATTTAACACATGATATAGTTATGGTCTAGCATGGCAGCTTCACCTCGTTCTTTACCCTCATGCTAGAGTTTGCAGTGAGGAGAATGTTACCCACTTCTTCTTGCGCCCTTCTATCATCGCTCCTCAAACTTGTGCTAAGGTTGACTTTGACGTCATTTCCTATATGAATGCTAGGAGGATCAGGAATGTTGTTTGCTTAAGCATAGCATCCCCTCAGTGACGTATTTTTTTTGCATTAGCAGTCTAAATCTTTAGGATGGCACAATGATCTCAACAACATTTTCAGAAGGACATGATCTCAACACTTCTTCAGGATTTTGCTTGTTATATAGCATGATGACTGCAACTACATGCCATGTTCACTCTACTAGTTTCTCTTGCATTCAAGCTTGATTGTAAAGCTGTTTTGTTGAACTTGTGATTGTCTAGTTTTCTTAAAAATTTTCTTTGCGGAACTCATGATTGTTGACCTCATTTTCAGTGAGGTTTTAGTTTCTTCCTCCTAGAATCTAGGATCTAGCTTCATGAGCTTCTTATTGACTATCCCAGCGGACTAGTAATGGGGCCCATCATACATAAAAATTCAAGGGAAGTCCGGGCAAGTGATGTGCCGCTGCGGACTGCCGTTCTTGCTACTCATGCCACGCCGACAACATAGCTACGGACGACAGTTCTATAGATGCCCTCGGTGGAAACACAGATCAGACGACTGCAACTTCTTCAGGTGGGCAGACAACCCTTCAGATTTTACGGTATCCCAATTGGACAATGTTGCACGTGGTTCAATGACATCACAATCGGAGAATATCACTTGTTGTGCCACTGTTTCCCAACCGCATAATGCTGCTCGGGGTTCGATCGTGCACCAATCGAACTACGGTGCTCGTGATATGTTACTTTTGCATTTTAAATTGAATGTTATAATCGTATTATTAATTTTAGTTTCAATATGTATTTTGATTTTAATGTGGTATCTTGAATTCTATTTTAAGTGAAGTGAGCGTGAAAATTTTGTACTGTTACGAAATTATTATTATTTTTCGTTATCAACTCTTTAATGTGAGTTCTTGCGATTCTTATGCATTTTAGATATCTAACAACAGAAGTTTGATATTTACACTTACACAACAGTTGGGTGTCATAAATCTATGCTTAAAAAGGTATATTTTATTTTTAAAAGATTAATAATGTATATCAATATTAATATTTAGGTGTTAGTTATGTAAATATGTAAAATTTGTCTGGTATGTATGTATGTAAATGCCTCAAGACGTTTTTGTATGTCTCAATTTCTCTGGGTTATTTTTAAGAACAAATTTGAGCTATTTTTTATAATTAAATAAAATTTTTAAATTTATCATAATTTTGTACTGTTATGAAATTATATTTTTTGTTCTTTACTGTTAGATGTGTAACCGTTAAAGTTCTAGTGCAAATAGCAATACTGTGCCTGTCATAATGGTCTTTTATCTACAAAAAAACTGTAAATCAGTTATTTTCTAAACTCACAAACCAAACAGCTAAACAACTTATCCAGAACAGAGGCATAATGTTCATTTATACAGAATCAACTGTTTTTGCAAATCAAAATGATCAACAGATTATCACGATAAGCTGCTTATCTGAATAAGCTGGATAAGCTGCAACTGTCCCAAACAAACCCTTAATTTTTGTGCTGATATTTTTGCCCTAAAGCTTGATAATATGCGTGTTCTATGAAGGCATATTCGATGTTCTGAACGCGCTTGTGTAGTCTATTTTTCCATCAAACATCGATTGAATAACCTAAGCGACGATCGAAGCGATTTTTGTCTTAATCATATGTGTCACACTAGCTGTCCGTCATTTTCACCATGCCGGGTCTTGTCGATCACGGTAGGTCTCTTCTTGGATAATTTCAACCCTCCAGATGAATCAATATAGTGCCATTTACAATTGGGTATAGTTTGGGTGGCTCAACAGTGACTGAGGTGAATCAACTCCCTAGCAGCTTGTTGTAGCACCAGATATTTACCTTAAGGCCTTGGTGAAGAGGGGAATTTACAATTCTTACCAAATAAATCCACTTGCCATAGTGCCATCATCAGTCCGAAGGACAAAAAATATAATTCATGTGGTTATAGAGCTTTACGCTCTTAGTTCTACTAGGTCGCATCTTGGTGTTCATGAGAGTGATAGCTTTCCCTCCTTTGAAGAGTAATGATCAAGTAAGCGATGAAGATTCAACTAGTTGCATGGGAAGGTCTTGCTCCACGATAGTTTCACTTGTTCCAATATCTTTAGATATTAAGAACGTGTCTGCATTGATTTTTACATTTAAAATATGTGAAAAGGTTATAATTTATGCCTTGCTACTACTAATCATTCGAGGTTTTGTGTGGCTTAAGTTCTTGTTGAACTGGAATGTACTTCTCAATTATAAATTGTGTAAAATATACATGTGTTTTGGATCTTAGCAGAGGGTCGAATTTGAAGGCATCCCAATAAATTGTTCATCTTTTAAAATATTTTAGCATAATTTAAATGTCAAGGTTCAAACAAATCTGAGAAAATTTAATCACATGCCAAAAACCCTAATCAAGTGATTAGATTCAACTCTACACCACTTTGGTGTAGCTCCCTTATTAGAGTAAAGTTTGTAATTAGAATTTGGAATCGATTTTGATTTTTCATTGAAATTGTTGCTCTTGTGCTTGTGCCTGCACCTGCTAGCCTTTCGATTGTGGCCACTTCTACATTTTCAAGAATGATTATCCTGATCTTCATATTACTACAAAATCTCAGCACCCTTTAATTGGTGAACACAATGATGATCAAGCTATCTTAGTAGATTGGCTTGTGTGCTTCTCTTTATTTGTATCAATGTCTGCTAATTGTTCTTGATTTATGCATATTATTTTCTAGTTTAAATATTTTTCTTTTGAAAAAAGTCCATAGTGTGCTTTGTTGTTCATCTAGTTTACTGCTAGGCTTGGGCGGATTCTTCTTTTGATTGTCTTCTGCTGCTGTCCAGCTGTGTTCTTCTTTAAATTTCTTAATTTCCTTTTTTTAATTTCTATGTTTTTTTCCCGCTTGTATGTATATCAAAGGCTAGTTTTCCATGTAAAACTGGGGACCATGGATTGCTATTGGCACTGAAATGCAATACTTTTATGATGGCATATCCTTTTTTTCTTACTGTTCCTTCAATGAGGACGCAGGCTTGTGTTCTTTGTGGTTATGATGGAGGAGCAATGACGCGGGCACTGAGAAGCACAAATATTGCAAGAAGTCTTTTGAAAGTCTGGAAAGTTACTGTTGGATCCACTTCAAGGAAAATAGTTTTTCCACATGAAAATATGAAGGATGAAGTTTTGAATGAAAGTTCAATTGAAGCAGAAGAAGCTGAATATGATGAATATTCTTTTCTTCCTCCTTTTGGGTCGAGAAGCATTGAAGCCTGTTCGGAAGATGCTGCTGACATAGATGAGGGCAACCGGAAGAGTACTATTCAAGAAACATATTGTTCGGCAGAAAATGTTAATCTGAATAACAGTATTATTAGAGGAGCATGTGATTCATCTGTTACACAATGGGTGCATGTAGTTTGTGGGCTTTGGACTCCCGGTACACGATGCCCAAATGTTGACACAATGAATGCTTTTGATGTGTTTGGTGTTTCAATCGCTAGTAAAAATATTGTAAGTTTTCTTTGGTAGAAATACATTCTTAATTAATCTCAGTGCAAAAAAAAACTTTGATCGTTTAGTAATTGCTTTAGGCAGTGTTATACTTTTGAAACTCTTCTATGTACTTCTTTACTTTATGAAACTGCATTGGTGATCCTTGGCTGCAATTTCTTTTTGTCCAGGTCTGTTCTGTGTGCTGCCGCCCTGGGGGTTCGTGCATAAAGTGCAGAGTTTCCAATTGCACGGTCCATTTCCATCCTTGGTGTGCGCACCAGAACGTATGTTTGAATAATTGAATGTAGCCGCTTTACTTTTGCTTATATTGTTGGATTCATTGTAATTTATATATTTTTCATTTCATTCATTTTAGTATTTACATTCAGTCATGACAAATACATGTAGTTGCAGATTTTTTTGGGAAAATAAAACCCTCCTTGTACTCGTAGTATTTTGGTAAAGTTTATTTTTACATCCAGAGACGTTGTCTATTTAATTCTGACTGGTGGAAACATTTGCTGTTTGTGCCTTTTCTTGCATATTATTAACTTTTGTTTTGACATTAATTATTAGTAACTAAAACTGTGACTTTGAAGAGTTATTTCATGTTTGCTTTGCTTTTATTAATACACTCATGCTAATTTAGTTTTTTGAAGATGTAGAAAGGGCTCACTTGATTACTTCAAATTAGAAAACTCGTTTTGATAAATTATGAAATATGTTAAGCTCATCATTTGGGCTAGGCACTAGTTTTTTTTTTTTAAAGTTCCAGAAACATCTTCAAAACTTCTTCTACTGTAATAATTTGGCTTTCACATACTTCTTTGAAAACAAATCATCTTGATCTAGAACATGTTTACTATTATCTACATGAAATCAAATGAGCCCAAAGGGCAGACTTAAGATCATCGGGTTTCTAGCATTCTCCATTTTTTGATTTTTCTGGAAAATTATGTTGGACGAGTGAAAATTGGTGCTGATTTTTTTCGGCCATCACTTAATTTCTCGTTTTTCTCTTTTCTAGGGTTTATTACAAAGCGAGATTGAAGGTGAAGATAATGAAAGAGTTGGCTTTTATGGAAGATGTGTACTTCATTCCAGGAAAAACTATCATCATACTGAAAGTCAGCCTATGGATGTGGAAGCACCATGTCCTCGAACAAATGAGTGGGCTTGTGCTCGTACAGAGGTACGTGCTTTATGAAATGTTTTGTTGTCCTTTCCTGGATCAGTATGTTGATCTATACTTATGTGAGTCTTTTACACAGGGATTTAGAGGCCGTGGGAAAGGCTTCAGCCTTTACCATCAGAAGTCATCTAATGATAGAGATGGTTGCATTGTTTCTCAAGTGCAGATAAACGCATGGCTTCACATCAACGGGCAGAAATCAGGCATGAGAGGTGTAAAACCAGCATGTTCTGATGTTGAGTATGATCTTCGGGTAATTTCAAGGTCTTTTAAAAGCTAATCCTTGTTTAATTTTCCAAACTTAAAATAGGACTTTATGGACATAGAAGATAATGTTGTAAATTAGCTGTTTACATTAACACACTCTTTCTTTTACTTATTGGAGCATAGAAGCCTACAATGCTATTTGTAATGCGCGCCAATTTTGACCGTTAACAAGAAAAGAAAAATAAAAAAAAAGTAAAAAAGAAAATTAAATTAAAATTCCTCCTTATTCCTGGCTTTTGCACTGGCGTTGAGGCTTGAAATTCAATTTGACTATTCCCCACGCTCACTTAAGCGACTTGTTTTGAAACCGATCGCTTTTTCGTTTCTCCTTGTCAAAACTACTCGCCTCTTCTTCCTGTTCACACAGTCGCAACCAAACCCCCCACTCTTCTATTCACCCTAGAAAAACCATAGAAGAAGCACTAGAATCCTTCTTTCTCTTCGTTGAAGTCGTTTCCTATTTTCTTCTTTTGTGAGCCACAATTGAAGCCCTTGCTTAGTCCACATGACGCCAACACCCTAAATGCTGCTTGCAAAATCAAAAGCCGCAGGAGCCCCCAGGCTTCAGTCTATAACTGCCTCACACATTGCTGCTCTAATATTCCTTTTATGCCATAGCTGACGCCCTCGTCTTTCTCCCGGCCCACCGAAATTCTTCTCCTGCTCTATTGTTTATGTGAACCGAAGCCGAAAGCCCTTCTTCTTTTCCCCAGTCACTCGACACCACTTCTCTTTCCTTTGCTTGGTAACGCATGAAGACATGGCGACATACAGTGACCTCTAAAATTTCACTTTTCTCCTCCCACTTACGAAACTTAGCCGCACTCGAGCAAGCTGCATAATGCCTTCCCACATGAACGTATCCTTTGTGAGTTCCGTTTTTCCCTAGCATGAAACCTCCTTCCCTCCTTAGACTCACGATAAGTTATGCTTTGCCCCTCTATCCTGTCCATAAGAACGCATGCCCCTCTCTTTATATGAACTCTCTTGTGAATCGAGCCTCTGAGCCCTAGCCCAATTTGCTAGCCAATTCCGTCCTTCCCCATTTCACTGTTTCATATTTTAGATTTTGTTTTGTAAAAAAGAAAAAAAAAATAAAAGTGTAGTGTTTTTGTTGTGTTTTCATTTTTGTTTCATCGCTGATTATCATTATCATCATGAATCTTAAAAAAGGTGTAAAAATGGGACGTTGGGAAAATTTTACTATAATATTCATTCAAGGAAAGCTCAAGTACCCGTCCTTGGGAATTAAGCATTGTTCGGTGAAATCGCAAACTATTTTGAATTCTTTTTAATAAAAAAGAGGCGATTTAAGTATCTGTCCCGGAGAACGTGAGTATTTGTCCACTGAATTGAGTACAGTTTAGGGAAAATAAAATACGTATTAGGGTAAATACTTGTGTGCGATTGAATCTTTTTGCAGGAACATTGAGGACTTATATTATTTTTTAGGATGTGGGTTGAAATAATTATTTTTGCTTCTCTGCCTTAGTGTCTCAGGACACTGACTAGCGAGTCTTTTAAGACTGTGAAAATGTTGACATTATTCTGTGCTCCCTAACGGGTGTTAAAGCCAGGAGGTTGCCAAATTTTTAGGTGACTTGAACTACATGAACATGTAAAATATTTTAAAATGTGGATCATTTGAACTTAAAAATAATTTCAATATGTTCTTTTAAAATTTAGGCTCTTAGGGCTTAAAAATAATATGAATCAGAACTTTTGAAATATAGGATTTTAAGACTGGTAAATTATTTAAAAATGTGAATTTGGATTTCAAATGATTTTCAAATGTAAAATTGGCCAATTATGAAGCTTGAAATGTGGGCTCATGAATTTACAAAAATAATTCAATTATGCATTCTTGAACTGTTGACCATCAAAATATACTTTCAAAAATTAAAAATTAAATTAAAATAAATTAAAAGAATTTAAAACTATAACTGCTCGCGCCCTCTCACTTGTGATAACTCTAAAAGAAACATGTCTTCATGGGCGGATGATTGGAACTCCTTATTTTCCTCTATTGCTTCGTCTGCCCCCGGATGGTTCTAAGAGGCCGCAGACAGAAAATCCCTTCCTCTCATAAAACTTCTTTCTTCCACTCCAATACGGGGTAGAAGCTCCACTTGACTTCTTCGGTGAGTTTGAACCACATGGAAACCTTCGAAACTTTGGCCTGTCTGTCCTGCTACAATTGTGAAAGCAAAGAATGCATTGCGACATACATAGACCCCCAGCTCCTTATTCCTTTAGATGGCTCAACTTTAGTTACTTTCCCCACTTCAACTCCTTCGATGTCGTTGTTTCTAGCCAAAGATAAAAACTCACATGATACGCTTGCGACTATCTGAAAGTATTGCAACAAAGACATCTAAACTCCCATTTGCCACCTTCCCCTCTGCCTTGTGCGATCCGACTGGGAGCCCTCACTGGCTTGCCTTCCTACATGGAAGGGAATGACGGGAACACCTACCTACAGAGCATCGAAATTCCCATCTTTCTTCTCCTTCCGCTCTGTATTCAACCGGAAGCCTTCACCCCTCCTCCCCGTGTCGTACTGTTCGCCAGCCCTAGCTGTCCATCTCCCTTGTTCACGGCTTTGCCTGTGCCCTACTTCATGCCTTGCCACTCCACTTACTTGTGCAGCCACTTTCTTGCAATTTCGAGAGTCCCTCCTTGTCTTGCCTTTTAAGCTTCTCGATTTGCTTTTGCTCTAGCCGCACCGCTCAATCTTCATCGCGTCTTCTTGCCGCAATCGATGACGAATTTGCCTCCTCGCTCCTTTCTATTGCGTTGAAAGTCCTCACCCTGTTTGATCCTTCCTAACTTGAACTGAGCCTCCCCTTACATTTCGATTGAAGGCTGAGCACCAAACCGAGCAATTTTTTTTACTGTTCATTTTTTTTTATTTAGTGTTGTGTTGTGTTAAAAAAAAGAAAAGTCTGTGTTGTATTTTCTTATTGTCGTCGCCGATCAACGACGTGGAGGCTCGAAAGGCATATTTTTGGAGATTAATGCGGGAAAATTTTTAAAATGTCCACTTGAGAAAGCACGAGTATCCATTCATGGGGAAATTAGGTGCCGTTTGGGGAAAAGCAGGTCTCATTTGGAAATGCTTTTTTAAATTGGGGCTTTAAAATATCCACTCGTGAGAAAGTGAACACCTGTCAATGGGGAATTGAGTATCATTCGGGGAAAACAAAATACCACTCAGAAATGCTGGTTTATGAGTTAACTCTCTTCGTGCAGGTGCATTGAAGGCTCATTGCTTCTTTCAAGATCGCGGGTTATGTTTATACCTTTTGCTCCCAGGTCGCAGTTTCTCACGACACTGACCATCTCGTCTCTTAAGTTAGTTGGGAATGTTGGCATTCTCCTGGATTTTTGGGTGAATTTTGGACTTGTAAATAAGAAATTTTTGGAATTTTTGCGCTCATAAAATAAAATGTGAATCATGTGAAATTTTAAAATAATTTGAAATTTCAAGCTTATAAAATATATACTCTTAGGATTTTAAAAGTATTAATGTCTCATACTTTTGAAATTTAGGCTTTTTAGGTTTTAAAATGTTTTAAAGTTTGAACTTTGTACTTTATACTGATAGCGTTTTTTTAAGATTTTTAAAATTCTGGGCTGTTAAAATATAAATTTTCAAGACTTAAAATATTAAAATTTAAAGCTCACAAACTTGAAAATATTTAAATAAAATTGAAATCTTCATATTCTTGTTCTTGGAGTTTAAAAATTAATTTAAAATTCAGTTTTGCCGGGCTTAGACCCTTAAGCGAACAAGAGATGGTTTCTTTTTAGAAGCCTAAAATCATAATATTTTTGAAATATTTTAAGCTCCAAATGATTTCAATTTTATAAAATTTTTGTGGTTATGTCCTATGTCGAATAAGATATTTTGAAGTGCGAGTCTACTCTTTAGACTTTGATGAGTACTATTTGAGATACTTTTGAGCTATAAATGCATTAAGGTGTCTTTATAAGCAAGTTAATTATGCACATTTTCAAAATATTGCATGTGCTTCTTGATGTAAATTCCATATTAAATTGTATATAATATAGCTTAAAGTTAGGCAAGTCTGTAAAACTTATGAAACTCTTTTAAGCCATTTGAATATATGGAAAGTTCTTGCATGTGCTTCAATCAATATATATGACACTCAAATATTTGGTTCGAGAATGCTATGCAGGCTAATCGAGCCGCTTCGCTTGTAGGATAGAGTTGTAAGTTTCACCCTAGTTTGATCCTCTTTGCAAGGACTGGAGTTGATGAGTCTTGTAATTTTGAAATCAATGTTTGAATCCTAAAATAAAAATTTATAAGTCCAAATCACTTAGTCTAATCCTTCTATCTATAAGGACATGTGTCGATAGGACTTATGCTTTGAAAAACTTAAATCGACAAAATTGAATGCCCATTAATATAAAATGGTCAATGCTTCGATGATGACCATGTTGATTGAATATTTTAATCAGAGGCCAATGTTTTAAATTAAGATTTTTTAACTAACCAACCAAAAATTCAATTACTAAAAGCTTAAAGCAAAATCCCTTCCACTCTCTGTAACGGTTTGTCGAGGATGACAAATTCTTGATTGACTTCAGCTCACAAAAAATAATGTCATATTAAATGTATCAGTATATTTGCAATCAAAACAATTGCATGCCAGTAAAGACGTGACCTGAGTCCTCTTTTTGCGTTGTTTCTGCCGCCAAATTTCTAACCAGATGGTTGCCGTCAAATTACACCATTATATTACGGTCACAACCAGAGCCTGTATGTTCTCCAATAGTTTTTAACCATTTGAATTGTGAACTGTAAGGATACAATTGATTGACATAATGTCTTATGTTAGATAAAATTGACTTAAATTTGTCCCTTTAGACGAACATCCACCCCAGATCTACAAGGATATCTTGGACGATGCAACCAATGACTACTGACTAGAATCCTTCTGTTAGGTTGGGTTAAATGACTTTTTTGACTAAGTAGATCAGAGACCACAACGACTCGGGATGACAGAACCATAGGATCTTGATATGGTTTCGCTTCATTACCGATCATATGTTTTAAGCTTTAAATGGTGAATTCTACAATTTAAATAATAATTCTGCTGCTATTATATATTAAATATCCAATTCTTAATGATTAGTCTTAATCGAAAGTGCTCTCTTGTTATTGGAAGGGATAATTAACCCTAGGGGCTTGCTCCTATTTGAGTACAATTTGACTTTGACAATTAACCATAGAGACTTGCACATATTCAAATAGTTTAGGAATGATACGAGGGTTAAAGCTAAATTGCACTCAAATAGTTCAGTTTTTGAAAAGCAATCAATCAGGCGACCATGTTTACAGGATATAGTTGTAAGTCCCACCCAACTAATTCAACATTCTCCTCATAAGCACTACAGTTGATGAGTCTAACAATTTTAAATTATACTTCCAAATCGCATATATAAGAATTTGCAAGTCCAAATCACATAGTTTGATTCTTCTTCTCTTAAGGACTAAAGTTAACAAGACTTACATTTTATTGGAATTCAATTGTTAACTTTAAAAATAAATTTTAAGGATAAATGTTTTAAATATCATAATCCTTGATGATGACCGAGTTGATAGAAATTTTCAAGCGGAGCGGTTAATTTTTCAAATCAATATTTCAAAGTAATCAACCGATATAGTTCATGTTGAAGTTAATCACGTAATAGACTTAGGGTTTGTTTGAGGCTGCTTATTTGTGCGGGTGATGTTTTCAAAACGCTGTCGCACCGTTTGTTTTTCGCGTTCGAATAATTTAATCCCAAAATAACGTTATAGGATTCTTAATAGACGGGGATGCGGGATCGACCCCGCTTCCCGCGTCTTCATTTGACATTAGGGTGAAATTTTCTCTCGTGCCCTCTGCTCTCTGCCTCTCCTGCGCTTCATGTAGGAGTGAGGAAGTCGTGACCGCAACCAGCCCTTTGCGTGCTCCAGCTAACTTCGACGACGGTGAGCTTCGGACCCGAGAAGAAGCTTCGGGTGGTGGAGAAGGAGCTCGGTTCCCATGTGAAAAGCCCTCGGGTAGGAGCTTAGGGAGAGGGGAGGACATCTGCGCCGATGGTGTTCGCCCGTGAGGAGCGTAGGCGGCAAGGAGGAGGGCGTGACCGAGCGACAGATGTTTCGCGAAGGCTAGAGCATGGAGCGGGGAGGGTTCGACCGAAGGAGAGGGATCACGGGTTTTGAAGGCATCCATATTCCAATTGGATTTTCAATCTAGGAATGCATATTCTATAGGATTGATAGTTATTTTTGCTCCTTGGCATGATTTAGGTTAAATTCTGCTCAAATCCTCCTACCAAACAACCCCTTTGATTGTTTGAATACTGATAGAATAATTTCAATCAAGATAGAAACTTGTTCTCGTTAATTGTCCTGAAATTTGTTAAATTGTTTTTATTAGAAAATTTTTTTGTAAAAATGGGTTTATATATGATTAAAAAAATGATCATAGAGGTGTCAATCTTTAATGCGTTTACCTGGTTTAGAAACAAGGGAAAAATAATCGTTTATGAAGAATCAGCTGTTCTCCAAACACACAAACCAAATAACCAGTCAGCTTATCAGGATCAGCTGTAGATATGCAGCTTGCTAGGATAAACTGTTTATCAGCATAAACTTGATAAGGTGCAGCTGCCCCAACCAGACCTTTAAGCAAACACCATTTACCCTCCACAATAATTTATCGGGCGTAATAGATTTTTAATTGACTTCAACTCAAAAAGAGCGAATGTCATATCGAGTTCTTCCAATCAAATTAATTTCATGCCAGTAAGGACGTGGCTCCGCGTGGTTTTGCCAATCAAGCCTGCGTATTGCTAGCTCGATTTGCGTAATCAACCCTAAATCAAGCCTCCCCAATTCCTGCAGCTGCACCATCGGCTAGCCACATCAGGTATGCCAACAATTTTATCTAAATTTTAATATTTTTAAGCCCCAAGAGCCTATATTTTAAAAGCACAAAACTTAAAATTTTTTTTTAAAATATTATGAGCCTAAATATGAAAAAAAGTCCATCTCCCTAATACTTTAAGCCCCAAAGTCTAAATTTTAAAATCTCGTGCTTTCAAATCATTTTAAAATTCAAATGGGTCACATTTTATTTTATTTCATAAATTCAGAACTTCAAATATTTTCAAGTTGATTTCAGGTCCAAATTTCCGAAACTTTTGGCAGCTTCCCGGCATAAACTCCCGTTTGGGGGACAAAAGAATGTCATTCTTCCCAACTGGCTTAAAAGACGTGCTGGTTAGTGTCGTGAGACACTGCGGCCTATGAGTGGAATTACAGATTTATTGGAATACTTTGTAGTGTGCGCGCGCGTTTGTGTGTCTGCGTTTTTCTGTGGAAAAAAAATATTTACTCGGTTACCATGCTTTTGCATCTCAATGTTTTCTTATCTAAGCCATAATAATAAATGATCACCAGCATCTTTAGCTTTGATAGATTCACTGCCTCTTTTTTTTATGGCACTTTGTTCTTGTTATTGGCATTTTTTTTCACACTTCCCAAGATTTTTAGTTTACTCCTTGGAACATGTTGCTGCTGTACCATTTAATTAATGCAAGTGGAAGAAAGCCATCTTTCTGAAATTTATGCATCCCTGAATCTAGGAAAAAGAACCATAGCCTTTTTTTTTTGTTGATGGATTTTAGTAAGTTAAGATGGTGGATTTTGTTTTCTTCTGTATTTTGCAGAAAGAATATATTCGATACGAGTTGTCAAAAGGGTGGAAGCGTTTGGTTGTGTACAAGTCTGCCATTCATGCTCTTGGTCTTTATACATCCCAATTCATAGCCCGAGGAGCTATGGTAACATAACTACTTTTACAACCTTATTTTTTATCTAATTAGTTTACTAAACCCCATTGTGTTACTGAGAACTCTTTATGATGTTTATTAGTTGCATTAACCTTCTTTAACAGGTAGTTGAGTATGTGGGTGAGATTGTGGGCCTTCGAGTTGCTGATAAACGAGAAACAGACTACCAGTCAGGAAGGCGACTACAATGCAAAAGTGCATGTTACTTTTTTAGGATTGATAAGGAGCATATTATAGATGCTACTCGAAAAGGGGGCATTGCTCGATTTGTAAACCACTCATGTCTGGTACTTCTGACACCCCCAATCCATCAATACATTTTCATAAGATTTAATGTGTTTATTTCATTTTGATTGACCTCTGAGATTTGCTCTTTCATTTGATTTTGGCTAGCCAAACTGCGTCGCCAAAATAATTTCCATCAAGAATGAGAAGAAGGTAAGCTACCTCAGGGCGTGTTTCTAAATTTGCTAAACAAAGCAGTCTTGGTGCCTTTTTGTTCATTTATTTTATTTTTTAATTTTAATTATTCCATCCTATGCCTGAAATTGATTAAGTCTATGCATTTGCATACAAGATCTGCAAAACCAAGTATCAAATGAAATGATTCTGTTTTGTAGGGGCAATTATGCCATGAAAGGTTTTAAACTACCAACTGAGCATAATGGTCATTGACTAACTAAATGATAATATTGTCAGCTATGTTTATTACCATATATTAACTTAATTCTCAGATGCAAAGTGGCATTGGCAATAGAAATTCACTGTCATACTAATAAAAGGTGAAGAAAGAAAATTTCACCCCTTTTACTCTGAAACACGTGATAGTGATAATGATATTTTGCAAACCAACCTGTAAAAACCGAGTTAGCAATAGGACAATTATAAGAACTCAGTTTATAGTTAATTTGAACCTGACTCATTTACAATCTTTTTATTAACTTAAATTCTTAGTTATGCCCCAATTTCTTTAAATTTGAATTATTTTATTGATTTTTATTTTTTATTTTTGAATGAGAATATAGTTCGGCCTGATTTAGGAGATTCCCACCCATAGAGACGGGCTGACCTTTAAGGCCATTATTTTTGCCTTATTTATAATAGAATTAGAGTTTTTTACTCTATCTTAGTAAAATATATTGTTTAAAACTTTGGCTTAGGAAATTGAGCTTATTTTATGTTATTCAAGGTTACATTTTTTTACATTTTTTTTTTTGTATCTTCTTCCTTTTCAAGTGATTGTACCTGTAGTTTGATTTTGAATAGGTGTTGGATGTTTCTTGAGCTCGAATTTCGCCGGCATGGCCATTGGCCGCCTTCGTATGTAAGATATTCCACAAGGACAATAGCAGCTGCCCCTCATTCTCCAAACCACCGTTTGTGTTTTACTTTTTGCTCATTATCTCACAAATATTCTCAACCCTTTTATTGATCCTTATACATTACCTTAAAAATCTAGATTTATGTCATTTGATATCAAAGTCATAAATACTCTAAATTTTTAGAGATATATTAAACTCCCATGGAACAGGAGTGGCTTTAACCCTATATTTTTCATAACCGTTACATTGTGAGGGAGGAGTGCAAACTTATGATCGATAGAAGCAATTGTAAAAATGTATTGTCTACTTAAATGATGGACAAAATGTATTGTCTACTTAAATGATGGACAAATTGAGTCTCATCACTCGGAAGCATTCCCAATCATGCTTGAACTTAAAAGAAAGTGAATGAGATGAATGTTGACACGAGGCACGTAAAAATGGAGGCATGTTAACAAAGGTTTGAAGTGATGTTGTTCATATAGATGTTCACATTTTATTGGGCGGATCATGACAATGTCATAGGATGCACTTCATGATGGTCACAAAAATACTTATTCATTATAGATGAGAAATATGTTGCACTTCTACCTTGGAATGAATCTGCGATGATAAGTGCTCAAGCATAAATGAGAGCTATAGTGCTTCATCTAATGATTTTATAGCGCATGAGAGGGACAATAGTGGCATTGATATTGGTGATGATGCTAGAAGGAAGTGAGATGGAGGAGCTAATACTCGAGGTAATGCATATCTTGTTGAGGACTTGTAGAATGTTTTGACTGACAACTACTCAGATTTAACATAATTATGAGAGATTTAACAAGCCATAGATTTTTCTCAAAAACAATGTTATCACGACTCACCCGTGGTTTTGAATTAATCAAAACGTGAGCAAATATAAATTTTTGATATTCATTTACTATTTAACAAATGAAAGATTCATTGATTAATTTAAATTAAAATAATATATTTAAATTTACTTCGTTACTGGTTGTTAGCGTCTTCTATAAATATTTTTCCTTCTATAGCTCATTTTAATCACTTAATTAATTTGAAAAATTAGTTTAAAATAATAATGAGCTAAATATGCTAGTGAATACTCAAATTCCTAAACTATAATATTATCATACTAGTAAATGCATTTGGTTACTCACTTGAATGACGATTAATTTGTCATTTGATTTGTCCGGATGTCGACTCTTTTAAAATTAGAAGTCTAAACATGGATATTCAAATTATTAAATTTTAATTAGCTATTAAATTTACATTATTTAAGTTTTAAAATTTCATTATTTTACTTTATGAAATTCTAATTAAATTTATAATATAAATCTAAACGTTTCCTAACTGAAGTTTGTGTGGGTCAATCTTCATCCTTTCTGCTGGCACACTTCACCTTCATCTATTCCCCTCCAAAGTTATACACCTTGAGTTTAATTCAACATAATTTTCATGCGCGCGCGCGTACAAACACACATTATATATATATATATATATATATATACTCCAGGCTAGTTGCCACAAACTTCTATCGCACACTTCACCTTCATCTATTGTATGATCATCATATGAAGTGTTATTTTCTAGTGCCACAAACTTTCTTCTTTGGATATATTATTTCAAAAGTTGGCATTGAAATAGTCCAGGCTAGATGCAGGCAATTTTGAAATGGCCAACGCACATTTCTTTACTTAAGCGCATCGCTTTCATGGGCCTCCTTTATTCTGTGAGAGTTTCATTAAGCATTTTAGTTATATGACGTCTCCATAGAGATAGTTTCTCAATACTGATAGATTTTCATGTTCAAATGAAGTTTGGACTAGTTTTGTTGCTTTAAAGAAAGATATTATTTAGGCTTTAATTTGAGCTTTTCCAGATTTTAGTCAAATGCTTAAGGCGAAGTGTGATGTTTATAATATGAAAGTCGGAGTTACAGAGTCAAGATGAATACCCCATCACCTTCTTCAATGAGAAATTTAATGATTCAAAGTAAAAATATTCCACTTACGACAAGGAATTTTATGCTATAGTGAATGTCCTCTATTATTGGAGTCATCATCTTCTACCTAATGAGTTCTACCTCTACACTGATTATGAAGCTTTAGATTCTTAAACAGCCAAAGCAAGGGTAGGCATGCCTTTTAGGTTAAGTTTCTTTATTCTTTCTATTTGTGCCCAAGCATACAGTTGGGAGTGAGAATAAAGTAGTTGATGATTTGAGCCACTGTCATTTGTTGATTGCCATTATGCAGTCAAAGATAATTGAGTTTGAAGTTTTGAGGGACATTTATGCCATTGATGAGGGCTTTTAAGAGATTTGAGCCCTTTGTCAAGAGAGATATTATGAGTAAAATCGTGTATCTGATGGCTCTCTGCTCTTCTATATTAGGTTATGCACTCGTAACAGTTCACTGAGGGAGAGTACTTTATAAGAGTTCCATTATTGTGGGATGACATGCACTTTCATAAGGATAAATACTATTTCCTTTGTGAAAGAGAACTATGTTTGGCTTCAACTAGTGCAAGAAGGAGATACATATCAGACAATGCAGGGTGTAATATTTAGCTAAGTCTTGAGGGTAGAGTATGGATATATATGTTGACCTCATTTTTTTCGTGAGGTCCAGTATTCCTCGTAGGAGTTAGGATCTAGCCTTAGGGGTCTTCCTGCGACTATCTTAGAACCTTAGAAGTGGGACCCGCCTCGTTTTAGTTCGACCCGCTTCCGTCCCTTTCTGGAGTTTCGCGTGTGTGGTATCAACTTCTAGCACTTAGAAGGATGAAACCAACATGAGGAAACCCAAAAGGGATTCCCTATAGGACCTT